CAGTGATTGAAAAGTGTTTGAACTGTTCGACAATCGGATTAACTGGCCATTTAGCTGACGCGTGCCGGTCACGTGTCTTGCGATTAGAGTCTTCGTCCATACACAGTCAATGCATTGTTTTCCACAGCAGAGATCGACGCCTTGAAATGTTGTACATGTGCGAAGCTTGGTCCTTTGTGTATACTTTGTATAGGGGGCTATCAATTAATGTGATAACGGGGTCGCCGTTGTATCATGAAATTCGGTCGTTATTCAATACAATATAATTCATCCCCGGTGTTGTAATTTTGAAATAAATTGTCGTTATTATTATTATTATTATTATTATTATTATTATTATTATTATTATGTACGTCTCGTCGCCGCGATTATATATACACGTATAAGTAATATATCCAGTCAAATGCATGTACCGGTAGTCATATTGTTATATTGGTAGAGTATCGTCTACATGTATTGTATATTTATAAATGCATTCGTTACAGTTGTAATATTATTATGTGTTATGTTGCCCATACCTGCCACAAGGCATATGGTGGAAATATGTTTATTACATATAATCGGTCGATTCTGCACAAATTAGTTATGTTGTCTGAATGTTTTATTAAGATAAAACGGGCTAATTATGTTAACAGTAGCTGCCGACTTCTTATTGTGGTGTAATTTCGCCAGATCTGCACTGCAAATGTGTTTATTTTTAATGTGAGTCAAGGTAAAGCCGATCCCACGTAAACATCAGACTTGAAGATGCTTAACCACGTTTTATAACCACCATAGCACCATTCGGGAGACCCCGTCCGATTCCGTTTCCGTAATCCCACGGAAAGCGTAGCCGGGATTAGCCGAATTTGACCGACTTCCAGCACAGACGGTGCATTTTGAGATGACTTGCCGAGCTGCATTTAATTCCGAATAAACTTGGTAGAAACTGGATCAGCTTGCTTCTGTGACATTCCATTCCTAGTTTTCTTATTGATTATCAATTTAATATGCTGCCTTTGCATATTGTTATCATTATAAGCATATACATATTCTGTTACATAGGGAAATGTGTGTTAGCATGCAATATGTCACCTACAGGACACGGTAAGCCATGTCTTGCATGTGATTTGTCAAACGTAAAACTAAGAAACGTGACCAAGGTTAAATTGTACATGCAGTACATGTACATGTTTATGCGGAAAAAAGGATGAGCAATTAGTATAATAAAGCGGCTCACTTACGTGAGGACTAAAGCTACAAACTATATCGTGTGCCGCAGTGTTGTTAAAAGGAATCGAGTAATATTGCATGTTAATGGGTTTGATGTACTTTATATATTGTTTAAACAAAAGCATGCACAGAAGCGTTAAATGTGTACTTTAATACACCGATCTACAGATTAAAATGCTGCAAATTGCTTTTAGATTTGTTTTGATTTTTTTAATGTGTAATATAAATATGGTGCTAAAACTTTTTATACACTCAGTATATGCAGATGCCGTTACTCAAGTTCAAGCAGAGGAGAAAAGCTACTGTATGAGTAAACTCCATCGTTTCTTGAAATTTTAATATAATAAAATATAACCACAATAAAAACGTGTTCCTTTTATTGATTTTCTTTAATAATTGGAAAAGCCTATACAAATAACAAAACGTGGCACCGTTATTTTGTGCTTTAGGACTTGCCATCGCCATATGAGGCATTCTCTGCTCGCAGTTTTGAAAACACAAACTTCCATCCACGACAAATACAAATATAAACAATATTCAAAACATAACTGTTTCCTTTTGAAGGAATCCTTCGTGGTGCACGTGAATATGTAATTTAATTACACGAAATACATGTGCCTATACAGCCTGATGTCACATGGCATCCTGATATCAATGTTTCATTTGAAACACATATTACATCGCATATGACGGTCTCGTTTAAGTCGGACATTAGCCTTTAATGCACTTTTTACGGAGGTCCCGTTCCCTATATGACGACAAAGAACGGTAAACGCATATAACGGACGAATTGTCGGCCCAATGTAGCACGTTGGATGCGAGGTCTACCAAAAATATACAAGTACAGTACAATATACCGTAATTAATAAACACTTAAGTTAATATAAGGTTCGGTTCACTACCAAGTTGAGCTGCAGCCCGACAGAACCGCTATTCAAATATGGCGCACACTTGAAAACATGCCGCGCAATACCATTATGTATTTCCCGCCTCCCGCTGGCGCCGTCCATGCAGGGATTACGCAAGATGCGTTCAAGTGGTTCGCGAGATATTTGAGCCGCGTCTAGTCAGGGAAGCCTCAACTTGGCTGTGCACAAAGCCTACAATTATGTTAATGCTGATCATTCACCATTAGTGAATTAATTTTTTCATCGTTATATTAACAGTCATTCTTCCGACAAATTAATAACGTTGGACAAAAGCTTGACGATATTAAATATATATAAAAGAAAATAAATACACCCGCTGTTTGTATTCTTGACTGATAAAGTGGTGGCGATATCGTTTCATTGCCTGCAAAGCATGGTGCATCATCATATGCTGTCTGTTAGCAAAACACTTGTGGCTTTTCTTGTCTCCCATGTTGACGAACTCGCCATCTATGGTAGCTTCATGCGTTGTTATGCAGGGTTGACATTTCCACAGCGGTAGTGGGCTGAAATGATAACATAGAAATGATGGCAAAGAAAACAACGTTATTTTGAGAACAATTAATTGCCGGTTAAGAATGTCATTTACAAGACAAAACAAAAAAATATCTGCCTTAGAAAATGTGATCATTATAAGATGACTCGTAATTTACTTGTATTAGTCGATTAGTGAAAAGATGTAATTAAATTCAAGTTTTGCTTATTTTATATCCGATAAAGATAAATTTGATTACAGCCTATAGCCGCATTCAGAACAGTGAGCTAACTAGTTCGCGGGTCAAATATGGCCGACCCACTTGAATACTTCCCCACGAGGAATCTATTCAGAGGTTATTAGCGGATAAGACGCCATTTCACCCGCGGAATGCCGGTAGATAGTCCACTGTTCTGAATCCTACCTAAATCAGTAGATTGTTAAAATTGATCACAGACTGTTTTAGTGAAATATTAACGTTATTAGCCTTATGTTTTGTTGTCAGATGTATAGTCTCACTATGTCAGCGCGCACGCACCAACACACTTACACACAAACACACGGTCGCAAAATATTTGTTTTAGTTTCGAACGCAGCAAAAAGACAAGAACGGAAGCGGGTCGACGACGCAGATTGCTCGATGCACGTTATTTTTTCATAAGTCGCAAGAGAAGCGTAGGGGTTGCTAACAAATCATGGCATATATCGATGTGCAAAGCATATTTGTGACTAATTTTACCCCAATGCCGAGTACGTCATATATAACAGTTAAATACCCAAGACGATAAAGTATAGATGCACTTGAGCAAAAGCAATACCATGTAGATAACAAGGCCCCGTAACTCGAAAGCATCGCGCATTGCGACCGAGCGCAAGCGTCTCAATTCCATAACTCGCCCATACTCGCCCCATATAATACATTGTAGCATCTATGTGGTATCGCTATTCGCAATACGCGATGCTTTTGAGTTACGGGGCCCTGGTTTTCTTGGTTTGCCTGCATGCAGAGCATACACAACACCGTAACCAAGACAATAAGTACAACTGAAAAGGGTTATACACGTATAAATGAAACCAATCTAAATCTTATTGACCACCACCAAAAATCAATAAAAATATTTCGAGTTGTTTGAGAGATTACGAAAATACTTCATGATTGTTAAATTTCGACAGAAGCACTGGTGAAAATAAATACTAATAATTCTTAATCTACATAAAAAAGAATAAATAATAAGAATAAAAACAAACAAACAAACATTTTGGGTTTACTAGCCAGTACAATGTATACATGTACATGTATACTGAATATCTTTTGGCAACGTCAATTAAGTACTATGTTCAAGCATTACCTTCCATCTGCTGGACATTTTTCAGAGTCCGGATAACAACAGAAAAGGAAAACATTAACACAGTAACGACGAAAAAATAAACATAAAATAAATACGTAATTACAAAAAAAAAGACAAAAAAAAAGGAAAGACATAAATAACAGCACATATGACGAGACCCACACCTTCTCATAGACTGTAATACACCACGGTACAAAGAGCCGCTCAGAGGCATTCGCAAGTGCTGTGCTGCTCGCTGTGGCTGGGGCTGGGGTGTAATGTGGCCACGGTGGATCGTTTGTGTTTGAGCTTAGAGGAGGAAGCGTGTGCGGTTACCTCGGCACTGGTGTAGTAAGTGCTGCTCGGACGCCGTGGGGAGCTGCTGGAGTCCTGTGAACCCCGCATCAGTTTGTACTGCTCCCACTTCCGGCGGAGCACCGTAAGGACCTTGAAACAGATGTTATAAATAGCTATTGAACTGCCTTTAATGTAAAACTAATAATAATAATAAAAATAATAATAACAATAATAATAAAAATAATAATAATAATAGGACACGTCCAGGCGCTAGTAAGCGTGGCACGTTATCTGTTTGAAAGGGGTACTTTTTGCCGTAGCAGTATACATGACGTGAATTGTTAAGGCATTAATATTGAAAACAAGATTAAAAAGTAAACGCTCAAGAGGTGATTTACCTTTTTGGCAAACAGATAAGGCGTTTCAGTAAAATTATTTTTATACCAGAAGCTAATAAAACAACTGAATTACCTCGCTGTTCAAGAAGCAATAAATTAGTGCCACGAAGAAACCCTGAAAAAAAGAAAGAGCTGGCGCTTAACTGCATATACACGGCATGCATATATAAAGTTAACGCCTTAAATGCAGTCGAAGCAAAAACCTTTTATAATATTTACCCAAGGACCTGAGTGTTAAAAAAGTCACCAAATCCACCCAAAACAATCGGCATCAACAGGGGCGGATTTAGGGCATCTTCTGGGTCTTCCAGAAGACGGTCAGATTTTCAAGTTTACATTGACGGGTATCTAATTTTTTTCTGTCGGAAGACGGTCAGAAAATGGAGGATGGATCAACAAAGATAATTTGGAAGACTTTCAGAAAATAATTCTGGATCCGCCCCTGATCAATATGGACCGATGCGGATCTTAGCCAACTTAGTTCCCTTTCAAACAAACCTAATTAATAACTGTTTTCTAATCCAACATCGAAGGACCTAAAGCAAATTATCACCATGTTTGCTTCAATGATTTCTTCATTTAGAATAAAGTGACGTCACACAGTTTTTTTAGCTTACCTGGAATGATGTCACAAATGCTGACGCAATCAAGTAGTATGTTTTAGTTTGGCTGTCTGAAGGGGTGAAAGGGAACAGAACGAACTGTAGTCCCAGCAGAGGTATCAAGATCAACGTAGCTCTCACCGCTTTTCTGAAACAAAACACGGATAAAAATATGACTTGTTCTTTCACGTCATTCAAATGTTTCACGTTTTAGAATATTGCAATAAAACGCATCTACTTTTTCTGCTTTCAGCGGTTAGGCCTACAGTGATGAGAACATTCGAAAATCCAGACACCCTATCTTATGTGAGTAATTTTATTTTATTTTTTAGTTTTTCTTAAAAAAACGATGCGATTGATTAGAACGAAACACGTGCAATAGCTGTACATGTGCATGCCTATCAAAGTGATCTTTTTATGCTTGCATTAGATTAAGTTTGGGGTCAGTTTACATCGGCAGGTCACAGTTATCAAGAGTGTATGGTTATTATTAACGTAATTCATATCCAAAGCATCAAAGGAATAAAGAAAGGTTGAGAAAACCCGGGATGAGCATTTCATTTTTTTTTTAATCTTATTCTTGTACGGGGAAAATTGGAGAAATTGGGGAAGACTGGAGGATACTCCGAATATTTGGGTGAACCATCTGGGAATTCAACCGCTGTATGGGCGTGGTGGCCGATTAGAATAATAAAGGGAACGGGTACGTTGATCACTAGACACATACCGGTAGTCTGAGCAATGGACGTTACAACACGTATCCCTGGTTTTCCTACAGACGTTACCATCATATTTGTATATCGTGTAGAGATTCGTGACAAGAATTAAAACACGTTCATAGTAAGAAAACGAAGCAATGGGCCTTGTGTCATTAATTTCGCAACCACTATATCACAGGGAAGAAGAAAATCCGCGTTGATAGGTCTTCTTTGTTGTCTTGGGTCTTTGTTGTCTTGGGTCAGTGACACGCGATTACTATTCACCGCCCGACTTATTACAACATGCACGGGGTTAATTACCACTAAAAGAAAAAAGTGTGGGCGTGCCACATAAAGCGCACGTCGCAAGAATTGACTTAAAACATGGGTACATTTTCCAAAAAATGACAATTTGTGAAAGGCGTCAGATGGGAAATTATAGAAAATAAGGAAGACAGTAAGTCGAATCATCTATGGAGCAGATTGTAAGGCACTTATAGAAGAGCAACAAGTTAAGTTTCCAGGGTAGTCGCAAATCGTCATCAAACAAACTTATGTTTTGGACAGAACTCGTTCCAGTCAACCCAGAGCGAAGCTACATGCGTCTTGTCGAACATTGTCATCAGAATAGCTTCTTGTCTGCAAGGCAACCTAGAAATATTTATTCAATGGAGAGTCAGTGACATGGACAACGATGCAGACACGTAATCCTGGCCGTTCGCATCATGTTGGAGAAGGACAGTGAGGTCATCTCTAAAGCATGGAGGGGGGGGGGAGGGGCTGCAATACGAGAGCTGCAGCAACAAGGGAACTCCTATATGGACTGGCCTGAAACATCATGTTGGAACTCCTATATGGACTGGCCTGAAACATCATGTTGGAACTCCTATATGGACTGGCCTGAAACATCATGTTGGAACTCCTATATGGACTGGCCTGAAACATCATGTTGGAGAAGGACAGTGAGGTCATCTCTAAAGCATGGGGGGGGGGGGGGGGGCTGCAAGACGAGAGCTGCAGCAATAAGGGAACTCCTATATGGACTGGCCTGAAACATGGTCGGAATAAGCAGTGAACGAGAAGCAATCTTCAATGCAAAACATTACACAAACCCAACAGGCAATGACTGACGAGTGAAACAGGCTCCCAATGCAAGCGTCACAGTATCTGGAGACCAAGTTGCTGGATGCGACGTGATGCAGTGGTTCAAAGTCAGGTAGGTAAGTACACCACTATTGATCTCCTCATAATTAGCCTACTGTTTCGTATCTGACCCCAACATTTATTGGAATCAATTCAAAAATGATGTAAATATATCAACTTTTGATAAAAATATTTAGTGAGCGTGAAAAGAAAAGGCACAGCCCCACTGACATTGCCAATAATGACCAATAATGTACGGGGTATACCGTGCAGCGTGACAGGAATGGTTGTGGGGTAGAAACCTAGTCCGTTCCTGTACAGGAGACCTTCGTCCCTTAAACCCCAATACTCGGACTAACACTAGCCTGGTGTAATCATGTTGGAACCCCAGACCCCCTCTCCTAAATTTGCCACTGATTCCTGTCACACCGATACAACACGATTTAACCTCAAAACTTCAAATATGTATTGCGATCTTTTTTTTAAAATTAATTATTTAATATTTAATAATTAAAATTATTCGAAATATACTAGTACCACTGTTATAAAAGCATGGTATATCATTTTTTAGTCCGAGATATATAGATATACATAATGGGTTCGTTAGGCACAGGCAGATACCTGTAACGAAACAAATGTGTTGCTCTAGTTAAACTGATTCCTTTTTATGTTACTCGTGGGTATCATTCGACTCTCGTTTGGTCTAGACTCAATAAAAAACACTCGTTAACCGTGTTTATCTCTTCAGTATATGTAATGCTAATTGAGATATCGACTGACGGTTAGTAATCGCTGCCAAAAAGACTGGAAACAATGTCTAACTCCGCTAAGCCTTCTCGCAAATTGCAACAACCTTCCGCCCTTGCACAGTATTAACGGATTGTTCTAACTGCGCGTTCGTCTTTTTAAACTAATTCGAACATACTGCAGTCACTTTGTATCAATCAATCGACCCTGTTATACGTGCCGACACGCACAAGAGCTTAGAGAAGAGCCTAAAACTGATTGCGTGTGAATCTTCAGCCTGCTTTTTTGCAATATTTGAGCCTATAGCTATCACCGCCCTTAAATTATGAGATACGAACGTGTAAATCCCTATGGCTTTTGGATTAAGATGTTGGGGAATATGTCTCTCCGCTCAAAACGTTGAGGGTTGTCTAAACTACCATTAACTAATGATTAAGTCCCGAGCGTGTTGACGACATCTGTAATAGTGGAACATGTCAAAGATCTCTCAAATACATCATTAAGCATAATCTTGTCGTCTCAGATGAGCTTATTTTGAATTTTGTTAGGGATTGATTGGCACTATGCAGTTTTCATGGCGACGATTATAATAGCAATCGATTGTCAACAGATTCTTGATATAATGTGCGTCACCAACAGTCGTCATGAAATAATGACGTCATCAAGTATCTCACCTGCCTTGATTGGTGTCAGGGGAGTTTACAGCTCTCAGTTTCGTCATCAGCACTCGCACTATGTTACACAAGAATGCCAAGTTAAGCTGAAATTAATGTATTTATAATTAATTCTCAGGGCCAATTTAAACAAAACATACTCTGTTTTTTCTATTTTTTGTTTAAATATAAGAATAATATACGGATAAACGCAAACAAATGTAGTAACAGTAAAATAAAAGCGATTTTGAATACACTAGAGACGGGTCTTTAAAATAACGGAGTCCTTCATTTTTTTTTTCAGATTCCCGAGAAATGATTTTAAATGACATGTTTGTTTTTTCTTAAAATTAACCAAATCGATTATAAATGGCATTCACAAAGATTGCAGCGAGTACTTACTAACAAGGAAAATGCCACCGTTCCATTGAGAATCCAAAAATATGGGCTGTTAATTATCCAACATCTATCAGAAAAAAATGTATAAAGACTGAATTACATAAAGGAAATTAATTTCCATAAAATAGCGATTTGAAATTCACAGACCATTCGCATTAAAAATGCACGGGTTTTGACCCCAAGATCGAAATAATGATGGACCTGATCTGGTTCCGAAGGCTTGAACAATATGCCTGCCAGAAAGTCAATGTTATATTGCAGTTCAAGTCAGTTGATGATGAGAATGCAACTCAACAAATGTGTC